ACCATCGTAAGTTATTCCGTCTGACACGGGAAACGGGCAGCAGATCTGGTGTTGGTGAAACAATTTGTGACGAGAGTGGACAACCTATGCACAACTTGTCAAAACGCTTGGAGCATTGGGCTGAGCACCTTGAAAGGCAATTTAATCAGTCGGAATCATTAGATTTTTGGCCGGCCACTGATTGCCCCGCTCCCTGGGCTGTCCCTTTGGATCCACCCTCTCACTAAGAAGTAGAACGTGAGATCGAACTGTTGAAGTTACATAAAGCCGCAGGACCAGATGATCTTCCTCCAGCCCCCTTCAAATTCGGGGGACCTGTTCTTGTGAATGATTTATACGAGTTACTAGTGAAACTGTGGGAGCAGGAAACTGTCCCAACTGACTGGAGCCGCTCCGTCATAGTCCCAAGTGAGGCTCGCGATCGATATGCGGCAACCATAGAGGAATCAGTCGGATCTCCATCGCCACGAAATTGCTTGCCTCTGTCAGCGTTCACAGACTAACTGGCACTCGTGAAAGCCAGATTCACGAAGAGCAAGCTGGATTTCGTCGAGGTCGTTGCTGAATTGACCACATCTTCACCTTGCGTCAGTTGTTGGAGCACCGTCGCATATATTGGCGGCCCACTGTTGTCGTGTGCCTCGATATCATAGATGCATTCGATTCGGTGGATAGACATGCACTGTCTACTCAGCAAACGTGTACCTGAGAAATATGTAAATGTTATCCGAGCACTATACGCGCGTAGCTCAGGCAGAGTGAGGGCTTACGGCAAGTTGCCGTCGCCCTTTCATATCTCCAGCGGTGTGAGACAAGGATGGCCGCTGTCAACTTTCCACTTCAACTACGCTACTGACGAAGTGATGGAAACCGCGTTTACAGGACATGACTTAGAAGATGTGGATCTGCTCCCAGGAGGGCGACTTAGTGACTTGGAGTATGCTGAAGAGATTGCTCTAAACTGTGACAGCTCCCAGAGGTGCGAAGAGGCACTGGACAGATTAGCACTGTCAGCCGCTTCGGGCTTTGCTTTGCACTATCGAAGTGCAAAGCGTTCCTCCAAGATTGGCCTGGATCGCCTCCTTCGCTGACCGTTGGTGGGGATCAGCTAGAAGTCGATCAAAAATTCAACTACCTGGGAAGTTGTATCAGCGTTCGTAGCACTGAAGATGAGATCACGAACCACTGAGCAAAAAGCTCGAAGCACTTTAGCTAAACTTCGTCACTTATGGCGCCGGCGCGACATCACTCTCGCTCTGAAAGGTAGAGTGTACAATGTAGCAGTACGTTCGACCCTACTGTACGGTTGTGAAATCTGGCCCCTTAGATTAGCGGATATAAGGAGGCTAGTTACGTTTGACCACTGGTGCCTTCGTAATTTAGCTCACATCTGGTGGGAACACCGCGTGAGCAACGAACGTGTTCGACGCCTTGTTTACGGCACAAGAAAAGGAAATGAACCACTCAGCACCGTTGTTTTATGTACCAGGTTACGAAGTCTCGGCCACGTGTCACGCATGCCAGCTCACTGACTCCCGCGACTTGCGTTGTTTGCGTGTCGGGGGTATGGATGGAAAAAGAGGAGAGGTGGAAAAGCGATAACTTGGTCGAGAGGAATGAAGGCCCTCACTTGGAAGCTGGCCCCAGTTGGAGCGTCGCGGCTCCCTGGTTGGGGTCCGAAAGATGAACACCTTTGGCTGGATACACTTGTTGATATGGCCAGGAGCCGACCTTAGTGGCGTTCGTGATGAGTTTTTTTGTTCCTCCCCATCCCCTTTAGTCTTCCGCTCCAACCACGATCTCATTATTTAGCGTTTGATAATTTTGCACAGGAAATTACTTCGTTTTGCTGCATAGTAGCCAGCAGATAGCTTACCGGAACGATGTCCATCCGTTACCGGTAACTCATCTGGCTTGAACCCGTCGGCCGGTGGCCGAGTGGTCTGCACGTTTGCTTTGCAACCATAAGGTCACCGGTTTGAATCCGCGTAGGGGTGGGTGTCCTCGCGGTATACTCAGCCCACGCGCGACTGGTGGTGGTCGCGCGGCTGCGAAGCGCCGTTACGGCGTACAGCCGACACATTATTATTATTTATTATTCCCTTTCTTTCCTGTATGTCTTACGGCACAGTAACTGAGGTTTCTCACCTCTAGCTAACGTGTATAATGTATGTGTGGCCAGCCACAGGATGCTTGCACCTACAGAGGGACCATGGGTGGCTTGCGCTGCATCACCCACAGCTCCATCCACACACCCCATGTCCAGTGTAAACCCGAAGGAATAAGAGCGGGAGGCATGTGGATGGGAGCCACGTTTCATCAACCGAGCCGGCCCACACTCCTTCACAGGCAAACACAAGCAGGCTGTATTTGGGAATCAAGTGCACACAATGCGGTGGTTGGACCGTAGTTCGCTCCACACTGAGTGTATGGAAGCACTCCTCGAGCCTAGCACGGTCACAAGGACGGTGCACCGCGTCCCCTCCAGCAACCACCAACTGTCTCCTGGAGCCAGTATGGACAAGGTAGTGTGTAACAGACAGGTAGGCACCTTGTCAACATGCACATCAAGCGCAGCCACACCGGAGATATCAAGTAACAGCCAATCACTTGAAAGGACAACATGAAATTAAAAAAATCGAGTAATGCATACAGATACGGTGACAACTCTTCGCTAAATTAACATATGAAGTTTGTTAGCAACGAATCAGCGATAAATAGAAAATGTGCACAAATTATACAGTAAATACTAAAAACGCGATAAAGTTCACGAAGATAATCACATTTGGCATAAGCAAGGTGTGCAAGTTAATAGAAGATTACTCAGGTAAGCAGAACAGACCCATTAAAGTGGAATGAAATTTATCCAGCTTAAAAGGACCTAGTTTAAGCGTAAGTTGGTTTAGCCCAACTGCGGCGAAGCATCATGAGTGCAACATCAGCCTCAACGCGACGCCAGTATGTAATATATTCGGTGAGATAAGTTCGAGCTGCAGACTGGAAACCCACGTCAAAAACGAGATACAGGGTTAGCACACTATACTGCACTGAGTCAGTACACACGACATTTGCGAGACGAGATACTAGTAAAAAAAGATGGTCCGAAGCAAAAGAAGGAACGGACACGACATAGACACGTGTGTGCGACAACGAAACCGCGAAAAACTAGGGTACCATGTGTTGAAGTTAAAAAAACAAAGCAGTATTTCAAATCGGTCAAAATGGTGTACGAGTCATCTATTGATTCAACGACTTTTAGGTCTGCACCACCTGAGAGCAAACGGAGCGGACGTCAAACGTAGTAGGTGGTTCCAATAATTTGGTTTGGTTTCTGATACGCTACATTCCGTTCAACGACACCGCAAACAAACTAGAAATTAGCTGAGAACTCATGCAAGGTCAGTACGCATAATCATTCTGAATGCGGAAATGGGGATACGATTAATTTTAATTTGCGTGAAAGGATAAGATAGCCCAGTTATACACCATTTGTGCCAGATGTACTGCTTTATATCCTACATACATACTCGTTTGCATCCGTTCTGTGCTTATGGGTTCGGGGCAAACAGTCGCACGTGACCAATCCATTATCCCACGTCCTCATGTGCACTAACGAGTGCAGTTCATTTTGTTCGTCTCATTTTACCTACCACCAGTATTCGATTATGTGCACCATTAAGGGCTTGCGGATACCATTGCTACACCGTTAGTGTTAAATATCGTATCCAGTAAGGCACAATCATGGACATAATGGCATTTTAGAAATCGTCATCTTGGAAGATTCTTGTAACGTATCTAACAGTGGTATTCTATCTCATTATCGCTGTTATTGCTAACTGCGTAGAAAAGCAATAAAAGCCGCTGCATTTCGGAGGACACACTGGAGATGACTGACTAGAGTGTGCTGCAACCGGTGTGGGGTGTTACTCAGATAATGATCCCAAGTGGCATGTAAGAGGTGTATCCAGTACGGAAGCAGGGAGAACAATTAGACTGTATGGACGCAACGCGTACTGACAAAAGCTAGAAATAATGGATAGCAGGTAGAGACAAGCAGGCAGATGACAGTATGCGCGTGACCCACGAGGGGAGTATTTCATCGATTTGTACCATCACTTAAACAAACGGGCCATCCAAAGACAAAAATAGTAAAATGCAATGTTTGCTCACGAACGTCACTCTAACGAAGGACATAGGCATTATTGTGTCTCCAGCATTTGAGACAACCCAAGATAGTTTGAAGAAAGTAGGTGCAGTTAAAAGGATGCTTAACGCTATAACATATTTCTCGCGATTGTCCTCAGAGATCTTTAAACAGTTGTTTGTCTTGCAGGCGAGGTCAGTTCTTAAGTATGGCTTACCGGCTGTCTATCCCCTCAAGAGGTTTGAATGCAGTGGTTGAAAGAACAGAGGCGTGATATATTCTACCCTGCGCTTCTACAAGAAGAATCAGTTGTCGGATTATCGTCAACGAAGAGAAGACTTGATTGACATCAGGCGTATTCATAGGGGAGAATTGGGGACCGAGTTGCAGCATTTCATTTACTTAAACACTGAAAGCTCGACGCAGGGATCCAACTGGGAGCTGACAAAGCCGAGGAGCCTCCACGTCCGTCCAGAGGTCACCAAATCTACCTGTATGGTGGACAACTGAAACTCTGACGTAGCCTATTGTCAAAGCGTCTAGCGTGGAAAGTTATAAGGGGCTGCTGGACTGTCATTTGCTTTCGTTGCAGTTGTAACGGTCAATTATGAATGCCGTTCCACAACAGCACGTATCGATCCTACTATGAACGGAATACGACAAAACTAACAAGGGTTCCTCCTTCTACTTTCGACAAGTAAGTGGTATAATGGTCACAAAATTCTGAACGCGTGAATAAGTTACCTTCGCTACACCGGATGGATAACAGACAGAACGAAGTAAAAATGAGGGATGTGATAAATGAGAATGCACCCCCGAATTTGACAGCCAGTTGGAAGAATGGAACGTTGCTCACCTTTGAAGAACCAGAGTTCCGCCACACTCAGGACGCTGGCAGGGTAGAGAGTCCTCCGTTGTGCTTCCGAAGGAACGGTAACAAGCCGGTCGTGGGCATTCACCGTTGTTACACTTGTAGATTTTCGCATTCGCATAACCAAGCTTGATAGTAATGTTCCGAATGAGCTCATTTTTGTGACGAATAGTATGAACAGTAGAAATTGCGCGAACGACTGTTGTTTTGCCGTGTGCCACATGACCGATGGTGCCTATGTTAATTGTGGCCTGCCGACTTATCACCTCTGGTGTCAATGGAGTAAGAGACGATAAATCCTTGTGAATAAAAAAGGAATGAAAAATCAGATATTGCCTACCAAAGACTCCACATCCTGGTCAGCAAGTTTAGACCGATCATGCATGACGGGTACAAAGAAACTAAACGGCTAGGGCACTATGTTACTGACCGGTAATCCGTGACTGCGAAGAGCAATAGGTTTTAATTACCTAGTAGGTGTAAGAAACTTAGAGGCCCCGTACTTTAAAGGCTTAAAATTAGGTACCGCCATTAACCTCAATCCGATTAATAAGACACTGCGCAACTATACAATTCGCTTGACTGGTTCATTGGTTCATTGGGCAGTAGGGAGTTCAAGTTCAAGCGGGACTGGAACGATAGGATTATCCCGTGAGTGTTCCTTCTTCGGCGGGTCGTTGAACCAGGAGTTTGCAACTTCGAAATACTCATGGACCTAAAACGAAGATCGCATCACACCCTGTCCAACCAATTAATGCCTGCGTATCTTGCCCTAGCAGTTCCTGCTGGGTCGGTTACGTGAAGAAAGAAAGTGAACGTGGTAAGAGCTAAGCAAGTGGAACACAAGATATTTGAGTCGTTAAAAAAAGAACTGAAAAGTGAAGGTGAGTCAGCTAGGAAAAAGGAAAGGTTTGCTGTTGCCACCCAAGAGCATCGAGCTGGCGCGCAAAACCTTTAACCCTAGGTTCCCTAACCACGTGATCTGGAAGCGAATTCCAGCGATCTAAAACTTGGCGCGATAGACGAGTTTCCGTCCTAATCCTACCAGACCGTGGTTAATGCATTTTCAGTGGGTGACCGCGGAGATTAGGTAACGTAGCGGCACTAAATAGCCCTGACAAGTCCGGGCCAAGCTTAACTGTTAAAATACGATAAGTGAAAATCAGGTCCCCTCTTATCCTTCGGTAGTGCATGGAGTACGTTCCCAAACTGAGCAAGCGTTCAGGATACGTCTGTCCCCATGGACCCTGCACTATCCGAGTGCCCACTCGTAACACCAAGTCCATTTTGTCTTGGTTAAGACATGGTGGACAAGCCTGAACACAATCTTCCAGTTGGGGTCGGACGAATGCCGAAAACAGCTTCACAAAAATTTTGGCCGTTAAAATTCCGAAAGAGCGGCGGATAAACCACTTCATGCGAAACCCTCGACAAGCAGCCTTCTTCCAGTTGCCTCCAGAATGAAGTGCTGATGCGTGTACGATACTTAAATCAACCTGCTGAGTGACAACTGGGAGTTTACCACCGCCGACAACATATCGGGTGGGAGGATTAGCAGCTCCGATTCGAAGAACAGAGCACTTCGCCCTATTTGTGGACATCAACCATAAGCTAGACCATTCCCAGAGCCTATCCAAGGCACGCTGAATTGCCTCAGGACCCCTCTAAATATCCACAATATTCCAGAGCTTAAGGTCGTCAGCAAACATTAATGATGACACCCCTAGCTCTCCTGGCAAGTCATATACATAGATCGCGAACAACAATGGCCCCAATACCGAGCTCTGCGGAACGCCACTAAGGACAGCTTCCATGAGCGAAAGGCTAGGCCCCACCCGTACGCACTGTTCCCTCCCCTCAAGGAAGGCAGACATGGATTGAAGGGCCCGACCAGATATCCCGTAAGATCTCAACTTAACTGAGAGCCGAACATGTGGAACAATGTCAAATACTTTCGAAAAATCTACGAATAGCACGTCTACAGCGTGGCCACTGTCTACCGCTTCGGCTCAGCTTTCACGAGCTACAAGTAAATTAGTCTGACATGAAAATACTTTGCGGAATCCATGCCGTGCAACACTGAGAAGGTTGAAGCGATTCAGGTGGTCCTCCACTGAATCCCTTATTAGCTTTTCGAATTGCTTGACTACTACGCTTGCCAAAACTGACATGCCGGTAGTTCGCGAGTATAGCGCTGTCTCCGCCCTTAAAATTCGGACAGATGGTTGCCTCCTTCCATTCCGAAGGTAGGATGCAGCTGTCCAGCGATATTGAAAACCCGCACGTGATCGGACCACTCAGCGCAGTGGCCAATTCATGCAACAGCTTCGGATGAATTGAATCAGAACCGGAAGCTTTAGAGGGATCAAAGCCTTGCAGTAGCTCGAAGACCTGAGTCTCCGTTATGCTAAATTCAGCTAAGCAAGAATCCTCTGGAACTCTTGAAACCAATTCAACCTGTGGTAAAGAGGTCTCCCGAGCAAAGACCCCAGTATACTGATCACTCAGTATACAAGCCTTGTCATAGTCAGTTTGCGCACGGGTCCCGTCTGCTCGCAATAAAGCTGGCATAGAAAGTTTTACCCCGCTGGGTCTTTTAACTTAAGCAAAAAACTTCATGGGATTAGCTGAGGCTGAGTCCGCTAAACCCTGCTCGTATTGGAGACGAGCAGTTCTAAGATGTTGCTTACATTTATTTCTATTCTCTCGATAACTATCATTGATACTGGCTGATGGAGCTGCTTGGTAGGTTCGCCAGCACCTAGACCGTTTCTTGAGTAGGTACTTGCCTGTGGTATCTATCCATGGTGGCTGTGCCCTTAACCCTCTTTTCCTATACAGTGGAATATAGGGAGCGGAAACCTCTGTAAGGTATGCCCTAAATTTTTCCCAGGCTAACTGGACAGAGTCAGCCATCGATATCTCACAGTTCAGAACTGAAGCCTTAGTTCGCATTGCACTAATGTCCGCCCGCCAAATATTCGGAAGGAATTCAACAGCGGTCCCTTGGTGCCTTGAAACAGCACATCAAAAGGATATGCATGCTTGATCGCTGAACCCTAGAGGTGCACCGCATGAAGCGTCAGTCACGAAGTCCAGGGACTTAGCGAAAACCAAATCCAAAGTAGATGGTATTTGGTTGTCCATATACCTATTGGGAAAGTCAACGAACTGGTGCAAAGGCACTTGGGGAGTCAGTTCAAGGAAATCTGCACCGAATGTTCCTAATGCCGAATTGCAAGAAAGATCGGCCCAACAGACTTCCGGGAGGTTACAATCCCTTAGAACTAAACACTTATTCGCAAACTGAGTGCTAATAAAGTCAACTAGCCCCCTGGAAGAACTTCCAGGACTTCTGTATATCACCATAACTGTAAACTGGGTAGAGGAAGCGCACAAACAGCCGATAGGGCAGGCGGGGGATTCCTTGTCAGCCCCATTGCTTCCCGATCATTGATGGGGTGATCGTCATTGTGCAACGGAAGTTCAGGAGAGGCCATCGCACTCCTAGCTGAAGCAACCCGATCCTGGCGTATTCAACAGGTGAGAATCAAGTAGTCGTTTGAAGTAATCCTCCGTCTGTGCATCAGTGACTGGCGGCAGGAACCAGTTCCAATTATTTACCACGCGAGTGGATAGAGCAAGGATGGACAGTACGTTGTGCCTGCGTGGTCTGAAGATTTGCCCACGGTGGCCTCCAGTCGAACACCCAATGTTGAGGTGGAGGATTTCATACAACTCTCTCCCTACCACTCCCCTGAGGATACGACGTTTAAAAATTATGTCTCCGCGCCGGCGACGGTAATCCATAGAAAAATCATTCAAATGACGAAGCCGAAATGGCTACGGCAGGTCACGTAACTCAGAGACAACTTCGATCCACGCCGTTGGACCTTTTCGGTCATGTCACGCTCAAATTTGGAAGATGGATAGGCAGCAGGGAAGCGATTTTCTAGAATTGGGCGCACAAGTGAGGTGAACTAGTGCTTAAAATTTTCCGGTGTCAAGTGACGGAAAGCTCTTCGGATGGCGTGCAACATCTAGTAGGCAGCGGCAACCCACTTCAGGGTGCCCTGAGTGGAGCTTAAATCTGGGGAAACTATCGCCCAGATCTCTCACGGAAGTGACATTTTTGAGTAAGCAACCACCTGTGTGGTAAGCTCCGAATGGTTTAGTAGCGCCGATAGTCAGGACGGAACTTTTCTGTTGATTAATAGGTAAGCACTACTGAATCGACCAATTGTGCTGGAGATCGAGCGTCTGTTGTACTCGAACAGCAGCCTCTTGAGAGGATACCTCCTTCCATATCTTGAGCTCATCAGCATAAGTCAAGCAATCCGATTGAAGCTTCGACGGTAGATCGTTGCTGAAGCTGTTGAAGAGTTCGGGGCCGAGGACGGATCCCAGTGGGACGTGGCCGGTCATACGTACAGGATCGGAATAAGTTTCCTTCACTCTCACCCGTATGGAACTCGGAAATCCAAGACAGAAAGTTTCCAGTGACGCCGAGTCCTCGGAGTTCTAAGAGAAGCTGTTCATGCGAAACCTCATCAAATGCTTTACTGAAATCCACGAACACGACATCCAGGAGGTTGCCAACCTCCAATGAATTTGCTCATTTTTCTTTTGCCATAATCAAGGTGGTAGAGCATGAGCGAGCTTTGCGAAAACCATGCCGGGTACTGGACACCAGATCCAACCGCTTGAGATGCATCCGAATTGCCGGTATCCGGACCCGTTGCATGAGTTTGCACACTATCCATGTAAGGCAAATGGGCTGGTAGCCATCCGGGTCTTGCCGTTTCTCCCATGTTTTATGGGCTTGTTGTTGCCCATCTTCCAAGTGGTCGGGAGACGTCCGGACTGAGAAGATCGACAGAAGACCTACGCCATAGGTGAAGCAACGTACTGGGGCACAGTCTTGAAAAACAGGGGGTGCAAGTGGTCAGGACCAGGACATGTGTAGGGATCCAACTCACAGAGAAGTTTTAACACAACGTCAGTGTTAAAGTCGACGTGTTCTACCAGAGAAGAGGAGTGCACACTAGTCTGTCAGAGCACGACTCCGTTGTCGAGTACACTGAAGAGCATTGGCGCGCCAGGGGCTGGCTTTGTCGGTGTCCTTGTGAGTTGGAGCCCCATACTTGAAGGAACACAAGGCAGAGATACCACTGCCTGCTCTAGTGCTCCGTTTGCGGCAGAAGAAAAGGGTCTTGGGGTCTTTCTAGCAAGTGTGGCTAGGTGCGCTCATATTTTTGACGTTTCTCGCGCTGTTTCAGGGTACAGGTACTCTCGACACTTGTTGTAACCGTGGTAGTCTTGCTCTGGTCGTGTGCTCCTAAAGCGGTCGCACAACTTGCGTCTTCTGTTCCTCAGAGATCTCAAACCACGAGGGATCCACGGTGGGCCTCTAGAAGGTGGTTGGTTTTTGTG